CCAAATAAATACAAAATCAAAATCTTATCATCGTGCAAACGATTCAAACTACCGCAGACGTCAATCTGCAGTCGTTCCGCGTGCGTTCGTCATGCGTTTGTCGTCTGCAGCAGGCACCTCGAAACGTCTCGAGGACCGGAAGTTGTCTTCGCAAATACGTTAGAAACAGCCGATTCCCGGCAAGCTTCAGTCGTGGGAAGTGTAAACTCTAGGCTTTCTATACCCATTCTTTTGGGATGTTTGAAATACGTGATCGACTTTTTGATCGATCTTTCTTTCGGAACAAAATCGAGTCCCATGTATTCGTCCATAACAACGCCCATAGCAACGATTTGTTTGGAGCAGTGGCTCCACACTTACGGGGCCAATTAGAGGTCTGTAGTTATTAAGTTTCGAGCAGCGCTCCTCGCGAGCAAAATCAATGATTTTTTAGTCGCGTTTCGATTGCACGTTCTTACGCCCCCTCGCGTTGCTGGAAAGCTCTATGAAATGAAACATTAACAAAACAGCGAAAAGGAATGCGTCTTGACTTTTCGCTAGAACGCTAAGGCCTCGAGCCGATCATCTTTTGTTGATTTTTTTTTTTATGCGCATAAAGAGACGCAGACGAATTCTAGCATTTGAACGTTGTTTGTGCATAATCGAACACTACAATGCCGTCGCCTTTATGGTCGTGCCTTGGAGGCGCCGAAGCCAACATTACATGGTTGCGTCTTGTGGACGTGCTCATGCGCCCTGGTCAAATACAACTGACCTGTAACAAGGGTTAGTTGTTGTCGCGTTTAAGTTGTATTCAAATTCGGTTGCGTGTACTCTTCTCGGGGTTTATTTTTCACCCGCGGGTAAAGAATAAACCCGGTTTTTAACAAAAAAAAAAACAAAAAAAAACGCAATTGCGTGAAATTGACATTGAAACTGGACTGGGGAGAAATAAGAAATATAGGGAAGGAGCAAGTTGCCAAAATCACGTGGTTGTGCAACTATGTTTTTTTCTTTTCAATCAACGTAAATGCAGCTTTTTTTTTTTTAATTCACAAAAATATGGGTATAATATTTCTGTCCATTTCTTGTACTGAGTTGTGCCTTTGATGACCCACAACTTTGATTATCTTTAATGGTTGTGTCTAAGCCATTTAAAACGGCATGTGACCACGGAGAAGAGAGTGAGCGCGACTCAAACCGGCTAGTACTCGATCGGCGGTTTTCGGGCGGAAAGAAAACGAATTTCGAGCAGAAAATTGTGTTCTGATTAGATGATCTCTCATGTGTCATGCACAAATAAAAACCTTGGCGGGCATAAATACCCTGTCAGTGTCCCTTTAAGTACAACGACTACTGAAAGGAAAACAATAAACGATCATCAAAAGCAGTCGTGTATTTGGTCGTCAAAGAAACGAGAAAAGTAACTCGCTAGATTTGAGGTAAAGTAACGCGTTCTTCTTGAGAATCGGTAACGAGTAACGTATTTAGTTACGTTTTGAGTGAGTAACGAGTATAACGGCATTTAGTTACTTTTTTGGGGCAACGTGTACTTGCCTGAATCCGTGATAGAAGCATAAACCGACTGGGGCATCACAGAGCAACGCAAACACAAAGTGGAGAAAGAACAAGGTCTCCCACATTCTACGAAAACCTCGCTGTCGCCGATGAGCAGTTCTTTGTCGAAGCGCGTCTAGCAAACACAGCACAATATTTCTACGGACTTCGACGAAGAAAACGGCCATTACAAAAAAGTTTTCATTGGCGTATTCCAGCGGTTCACGACACAAAACCACAGCCGCGTCTGCAACGCACGAAAAGGAGAACACTGAAGAGCGCATTTCGGAAACCGCGGACCTACATGGCCCCCTACCCATCACCACAACTTGGCATGCAGAAAAGACTACGGCCCCAGCGAGCCCATCAGTGCGTCAGGTCGAGCCACGTAAGAAATTTTCGTCCAAGCGTCTTTGTCCTACGGCGAGTGGTCACGTGTTTCGCACCACTCCTCTAATTTGCTTGAAGCGGTTGTCGCGCTCTCTCACAGTCACACGAACCTACAAAATAAGGTGGGGAAGATTAACAAAAGGCAAGGTAGAAGGGAGATAGACAATACAGCTAAGCTCCATCTGCTTGCTATGTGTGTCCTTTTCGAGCTAAAAGTGAGCAGATTCCGTTTGGCTTATTTTTTTTTTTTTTTGCAACCTTGATTGTGAGTTGGTTGAGAAACCCCAACACATGGCCAGCATAGCCGATTCACAAACGACAATCCCCACACTCAACGAAAAACGGCGGCGGATACGGAATATCAGGATGGCGTCGGCGAGACCCATCCGTTACGTCACAGACATCGCCTGGATCAAATCTGTATCGGCACAATATTTCCGATTTGACGCTAATATCGGCGCAATACTGTGTGCTGCCTGTTAGATGTTAATTAAGTTAGACTCTTACTTGTTCTAAAACTGTCGGTATGTCTGAATCTAGGCCGGTTGCGACACGTACATTTTTTGTTCGTAATGTAAACCACGCGACACAAAGAAATAAAATAACGAGATAAAAAAAAAAAAAACTACGTAAAATATCTTGAGATTTTCTACCGCCTTGTCCGTTGTTTTATTTCTCCGTCTCAGGGTTTAGTTTATGAGGTTTCATAATCAGGTCGCCTGCATTCGCTTCTTAAATTTTTACCGTCAGCTTATCAATGTTTCGTTAGGCAGGGCCGAGTGCACGTGTGATCTTGGTGTATAAACGGACTCTCCACTGTCTTTAAGGGACAGGTTACTAAAATCGTGGCCGCCGCTTTGCGTATGCTGGGTGTCATTTCTAGTATTACACGCGACCTTTCCTCGTCCACTTGCATGCTACGATTATACTTCTTTTTTCGGTCCAAGCGGGAATTTTGTTTTGCTGTGTGGAACTGTGTTGAATGTAGGGGCCCAGTGTATGTAGAAAGAGTCCCAAATTGTTTCTTTTGAATTCTATATGATTGTTATAGTGGTTGTACAGTATATTATGGTTATAAGAGACTTAGAGCGATGCAATTGCCCTACTTTGAGTTCTAGAAGTTGCGAACAACATTTAATATTTTGTATAAATGCAATAATGAATTAATTTCACTTCTTTGTTTGTTAATTAAATCTTCTCGATTAGCCCCATGACCAACATAAAAACAACTGTATAACGCACTCAGTGCAACAGATATTAAAGTTTTAACTGAATTCATTTAGCAGCTAAGTTGTGTTTGACTGTTTGTTTGACTGTTTGTGCATTATTAGCAAGCTGTTTATGTGCACATAAAAGCAATTGAAACAAGTAAATGAATGATTGAATGAATGAATGCATATGTTACCACTATTCCCTCGTGAGGAATAAAGTCAAGTAAAAATTGATTGAAATGTATCAATAATAATTCCACCAGTGACTGTAATTTATTTTATTTAGTTAAACTATGTCCAGCTGTAGTTAAATTACTTTTAAACATATTAATAAAAACAGAATTTGCAATTTCTTGTACTTTTGATGATTTCGTCACGGTGTAACTTGCTTTTGTAAAGCACCTGATTGGCGAATGAAGCAGTGCGTGAGCCCCATTGCCATTCTGCCAACTCTTGGAATTGGGAAAACACCGTAAATGCGGCAGGGCGCCGACCATGAATTCAAAACTGAGCAGCCATCAAATCAGAGCACCCGCAGAACGGCATAGGAGATGGCCAGAATAAAGCGGGAGCGCATTCAGGGATGGAAGAAAACAAATTATGTGATTCCAATATGGACACATCGAATACCTGTCTGTTCTTATCAACCGATTAAGATTTGCTCCCACATTTGATTATTAGGGCCTACTAACAAATGTCAGTTTTAATTCTCACTTCCGTGATACAAAAGCAATAAACAAGCTTGGTGGCAGTGCAGAAAAATAAAATCACTGATTTGTATCGTACTGAGGACTCAGCTGCCGCATAATACCCTTAACAATAAAGGCGAAAGAATGGTAAAATCAATATGACATTAAATAAGCAATACGTAACAGTTCTCAAAACTACTAACACGTTTATCATTGAGGTCGGGTACCTCTACTGAAAGTGATTTATATTTGCAAATAATTACATTTTTTTATAAGTGTTGTTGTAATTGTAATGGAAATAGATTTCCGGAGCGATTTCCCCAAATATGTTTCAAAAGTACCAACGTACACAGGTCCACACTGCACGTAACGCAGCATGAGTCAAAGGCCACGCGCTAAGCCGCTAGCGTTTAGTTTGTGCCCGACAGTACAGACGTATTTACCCAGAATTAATCCCGTGTGAGTGATCTCTTAGCAGGAATTGAGCCTTCAAGCTCTTAGTCAATGCCCAATGCTCTGAATTGTTTTTCTTTACATTTTATTACAGGAGAAAAAACACGAAGTTCCCCAACCCGTCGAATTTGTACTTGCAAAAGTTATGTATGCCTTACGTTTCTCACGTTTCCTATTCCCACGTGCCATTGCACTCCGTTCATCAAGGTGAGGTAGAGGAGGTACATGGCAATTAACCACATGTTCACCACCCCTTGAATCTACTCTTTATTATTATCTAAACAAATTTAAATATCACTCCTCAAATAATGCACTATATGGATTATACCACTTGGGAGATGAAGGTCACTGCCAAGTTTTACTTCTTCGAGTATATTAAGCTTCTAGTGAACTCAAGGATTTAGTACATATTTGAGAAGAATATTTCCAACTACAAATCTGTGAAGTAATTTAGAGTTTAAACGGAGGGAAAAGGTACCCCTGTTTTACTTTTTACGATAATAACATCCTTTGAAAAATTAAATGAAGACATGTTCATGTCATCTTTATTCAATCAAAAAAATCATGGCTGCCTATTACGTGCAGCATCAAATATAACAATCTCACAATGCATAGCTATCAAATGTTTACGCGCAAATTTTGCGATGGTAATGAGCTATTTTAGCGTAGTGCGAAATCGCGTATCACCAAGCGAATTGCGGTGTAATTTTTTAAGCTGGCCTTATGCTCGAGGTTTTGTTGCGCAAACTGCGACTACCTCATACATTATTGGATATCCTTGGGCTTCTTGCTGTGCCCACAGTTCGGTAGCTTCTTTAGTCGCTTCTTTGAGAAGTTCAGATTCCTCTTCCTCGGTCAGTAGTGTTATCAAGGGGTTGAAGGCTAGCAACTCCTCTGAAAATGAATAGTAATAGACGTCACGCGTGAAGTGTTAGGGAACATACACCAAAACCTCAGAATGATTTGGTATGTAGTCGCTGGTTTTGTGAAGTAAATGCGAACTCTTTGGGGTTTTAAATATAAAAAAAATAAGAAATCACAGACGTGAACAAGATATATGATGCTTTATAAACAATAGAATAGGCGAACGCGCGTGGTCCTGTTCTACCAGTTCATTGTACGGGTTTAGCCCTACCGCCGTATGTGTTCTATAATTAAAAAAATGCTCCTTTACAGCCGTTCGGCCATCGAAATAGACCCTTTACGAAAGTCAGTCAAGCAACTATGAGTTCCCGAAACCGCCGCCATTACTGCGTCGTCGTTTCGGGAGCGAGCGATGGCAGGTGCTTGTGGCAGTACTCCCGGTACCTTTGGCTACGGTCCTCAGGGACGAGTGACTTTGCCTCCCCCGTGGAGCACTATCTCACTGCAGTTCCGCGTAGCTTTAACAAATGTAAGACAGAGGCGTACGGCGCCTCGACACTCGCTTCAAGCCGCCAGGTTGCCCGGATCAACGAGTTTGTCACCGAGGCCTACGTTGATCCGGCGTCGGTTCAAGTGTTGAGGTAAGCACTGTTCTTTCTTGTCGCCCGTTCAGACCTAAGCGTGAGCCATCCCAAAGCTTCAAGCGCGTGCATCATGCCGTGAACGTGTCTTTTACATGCAGGCGGACTTGTGCCGGTTGCCGCAGCGCCGTGCACAAGGAAACGCCAAAAGAGGCCTAAGACACTCGCGCATCTTCGGCCTCTTTTGCATGATGAAACGAAATGTAATATTTTCCGGCTCGTTGACTTCTCACAGCTTGAGATAATGTTGCAAGGCTCAGTGGCGTACGGACTAAAGAGTATGAGGCGGGGGGTGAGAGGTAAACAGAATCGTTCTCGCGTCGTGCCGTTGAACTTCGCCTCTGTACGCCGTGCTTCATAGTTTTTTTTTTTTTTTTTTTTTTAGCAAAGGCGCCTGTTTTGATTGTATTGATTTCTGTGCTGGCAAGTTTCACGTTGACGGTTTGACGTGTGTGGTGCCAGCAAGCGCGCACTATGTCCACTATCAGCACGAGCATGCTAGCTCAAAACTTAGGACAGACCATTCCTAACTTTCGGCGCAGAAAAGATCCTGACGTTTAGTAAACGAATAATCGCATATATGACGCGTCTTTTCTCACACATACTGAGCACTGCTAAGATTATGCCTCTTACTTATTTAAAAAAAACAATGAGGGTGAACACATAGTATGTGTGTTCATTGTACAATCTATGCAGTAAACATAAGTAAACAAGAACCCAACTTTATTTCAGATCCAACACCGGAGTGCTCATCAAAGCAAGCTGCTTCAGGAGCCAGAGGAAAGCCAAAGTAAGAAACCTGGGAGTAGAAATATTGCGGTTAGAAAAAATGCGGTTGTATAACTTAAACGATGCAGACGGAACTGCAATAGAAACTTGTTTCCGTTGGGCTGTTCTACTGGTTGTCTTTAAACAGCCTTCTGTAAAGACTCAGGTGTGTCTATATGTCCCTATTTGTTTTGTTACAAGCTCTTGAAACGACCTTAATAAAGTCAACTCTCCTATGCATCCCATGTGCACGTCTGTTTTACTCTCCAGTGTTATTCTCAACAAGACAACGTTCATTTATTCATTCCATACTTTATATTGTGGCAGACAAATATGCTGTGTGATGTATTCTATGGCATGCTGTGCCTTTTGCGGTTGTGATCGGGTGAGTTCTATGCTCACGGACAAAGTTACGAGGTAATGTTGTCAAAGCACTTCAAGCACTCTAGCAGTCTAGCTAGAGTGCTTGAAGTGTCAAAGCACTTCAAGCACTCTAGCACTCTAGCTAGAGCACTCAAAGCACTCTAGCAGAACGTTGCGGGGACGAGCAAATCATCGCTCTCGGAGGACCCCGGGCGCGCGCTTGAAAACATATTTAGAAGTTGCAGCACGAGCTCCCGACACTGGCATTAAAGAGACGAAGTACACCTCTCCGTGCTAGCAAGAGCAACCATGCAATGCCGATGTCGTAAACGTAAAACAATGTTCTATCGAATTCCATGTAATGTCGTGACGTGCGAGCACTCCTTGCGTTCGTTCTTTTTTTCTTTTTTTGCGCGAGTGCTTGTGCGGATTTGCCCATACCTACTAGGAAACTTCGCACAACTTGTGATTGGACACCACAACGCAACGTCGTCAGAAATCAACTCTGAATACTGGTCAGGAGTCGCTCGCAGCTACGGGGTCCATCGCAAAATTACTCGGGCAGTTCAAACGCATTTCGAAACGATGTCGCGTGGACAGGGGTTATCCTCTATAGATTATTTTTTTATTTTTGCTAACTTTACACTCCGAAGCGGTGAACACGCGCTCGAAGCTTCGAAGAGCGTTGAGGCAGCAGCGGACAGGCCAAATGTGATCGTCGCTCACTCCGCGCAGATCGGCATGGCCCAATTTCTTTGAATACTAGCGTTTTTAACGCGGGAAAAAAAGAAGAAAAAAGACTCACCTTGTGTTGTTTTTCATCTTTTGGCCCTCTTTGGGTGCATTGAGGGACGCAGCAATGGGTTGGCATGTCAAACGCTATCACCACTGCCGAACGCAGCGGAATGGTTCAGGTTCAACCGTCCCCTTCGATGCTTGACGACGGAGTAATGGCGGATTTTGTCAAGTTCGCGCAACCGACACTAGAGGTGCCGACTTTCGTAAAGGGTCTATTATAAAGGTTTCAACTACGTGGCTTTGTTCGCGTCAATATTTTGCTTATATCATAATATCAGGAAGTTCCAGGAATGTACCTCGAAGTAAAGAGCATTATTATTGAATACCATCGAGGAGCAACATGCACTACTTGTACAAGATGACTTTACATTTGATTTATATGCAGGGTGTTGTTTTTATTCTTACACATTTGTTTAAAAAGAAACCGTGAAAGCTACACTAATGCGATTTGTGCAGGTGGGTTATGCGGCCAGGCGGACATTGTGTGGGTGGCTAATCTTTGGGACAAGTCGGCTAATTAATTAAGATTTCTTAATTAACTTTTTAATTAGTGGAAATCGACATATGGTTCCCATTAGAAACTTGCTGACCGTCATCCAAAACCCCTAAATCAGAAATTTTTAGAAAGACTTTGAGCGCGTGAGAAGCGGAGTAGTGCGCTGAAGTTACCACTCGTGGAGCAGGTACAAGGCTGGGGCTAGATAAGTGACGGAAAAATCGCGCGGGCAACCCGCTAGCTTAGTGCCTGCTCCACGAGTGGTAACTTTAGTGCGCTACTACGCTTCTCACGCGCTGAAAGATTTTCTGAAAAAGATTGATTTAGGGGTTTCGGATGACGCTCAGCAAGTTTCTAATTGGAACCATATATATATTTCCACTAATTAAAAAGTTAATTAACGAGTTTTAATTAATTATCAGATTTGTCCCAAAGACTAGTCACCCAAATAATGTCCGCCTGGCCGTATAACCTACCTGCGCAAGCCGCATTGGTATAGCTTTCAGTTTTTTTTTTTTTTTAAACAAATGTGTAAGAATAAAAAAAAAAAAAAACACCCTGTATATGTTCTGGGAGCTGCAGCTAGGTATTACTTACCCCATTTTATTTTTGCTATTGTCATATTCCAGTTATTAATTCTCATTAAACTAAAAAGAAATATTAATCATTTACCAGCACAAAAGAAAAAAGGTGGATCCTCTTTGGGAGCTGCACTTTAGAACATGTACCACTACTGCACAGAGCCCACGTGTTCTTCAATATGTAGTCACTACATCATCCTACCCTCAAGCTGTTTAAAGCGGATGTAAGGTCTATTACACCCTTCTCTGCTTCAGCACTTTTTCCCCAGTATTCTTACGCCCCTTGGAGATGAAGAGTATTCCATGCAACAAAACGGTATTTTACAATTAAAAACTGTATATTATTTGAAATAAAGGGGCAGGGAAATTGCAGCCATTAATATAAGTCTTTAAAACACTATTATTACGTCGTTAAGGGTGAACAACTTTTTGGCGCGTAGAGCGTGTATACCTAATCCTAATGGCATATCGTTCAGCTGAGAGACTGTCACATCGGTCATCAGTGGCCAAACCAGAATTCAAGCGAGCTGAGGCCAAAGCTGCTCACTCCTTGGTTGCGCTCGTCAAAATTTCTTTAGGCTAAACCACACACTCTCTTCAAAAACACTCGACAGCCAGCGACAAAAGGAAGCAATATTGCAAATTATCATGATGGAAGCACCGCCTTTCAGACTATCGATATCCAATAAACCAAATGGGCAGAGTCGTTGTTAAATGACGAAAGTAGGTTCTTAATCAGCGTTCTGAACCAGTTGTAATAATTAAAAGCACAATTTTAACAAAATGCTACGTCCAAGTAAGTAAAAACCCTCAGAGCTCTTTTTATGTCAGTTTCCTGTCCGTAGAAGAAACTCTACTGTGTGTGCCATTTAAAGCGATGTATCAAAGCACCTCGGTACTGTCTATGAAATCGGACACCATCTTCTGTCGGAGCTCGCTACAATACCGAAGTAATGCTTACTGGTTATGGCCTCGGGGCTGGTGAAGTCCCTAAGTTTTGCGTGGGTGACGTTACATATAGACGGCTTCAGGTTAAGGGAGTTTAGAAGACCAGAGATGTAAGAAATTATTTCTTCTTTGCCATTCATGCCAGCCGTAGGAGGAATGCAGTTTTCACATATCTGCGTAGACACAAAAGTAGACACAATGCAGAAAGTATATAGCTGAGAACGGGACACGATTTCTTAAGAGACCTGATTTTAAAGAGCTTCAAAAATCACGAAAGAAATTGAGCGAGTGAAAACCTTCCGTATTAGATAGGGTGATCACTTTTATTGTTCTGATAAATAAGCCTAGATATGACGGTGAGCATAATTTTTGAGAATCGGTTGGGCATTCGCATAAAAACTTGGTGTCCTAACGAGAAGGCCCACCAGGGGTTCGAGGACTGTAGCTTTTACAGTTTACTAAAGCTTCTTTTTTTTTTTCGTCGGCGCCATTTATTTACTTGTGCGTTGATCTGGTTTGGAGTGCATGTCAAAACTGCAATCGAATTTTTGACGATAGCTATAACTCTAAACCTGTCATCAGATGATTTCTTTCTAGTTTCTTGGGGTAGCCACCATTAGGCAATTCAAAACTAGATGTTGGATCCTCATGACTGAATGTACAAAAAAACGTTTTTCTGAATACCCACTGAAGCGGCGTCTTTATGGCACACATAGTTTTAACTGAATCAGCTTTCAATATTTATATGGTGTTATATCTTAAAAGCTACGCAAGGCTTGTACCCTTTTCCATATTTATGGGAATCAAATTACACAATCCATAACGTTTCCGAATTAATTAAATAGACAAACCCTGGAGTAAGACCGTTCACTCTGCTGCTTCTCACCTCAGCGTACTTCTTCCATTGCTCCATCTTGATTAGTTTTTGGCGAAATCGAATAGGTGGGCTGGTAGAGAAGAACCACAGCATACACTCGGCTCCGGGTTTCATCAGCTCTGCGAGGTTCTTGAATGCTTTCTCGAAATTCTTCACCCAGTTGAAACAGTAGAAGGAGTAGACGCGTTCAAACTGGCCGTACCTTTCCACAAAATCGGCCACGTCATCCGCTACAATGTTGAGGACGTCGTATGAGATCTTTGGATGGGCGAAGTGCGTCTTGGCGAACTCAACCATGTCACTTGACACGTCTACTGCAACAACCCTCCGGCATGGCAGGCAGTAGGGAAGCAGACTGTCACGCGTGATGTCTCCTGGACCGCATCCGAGGTCAAGAAACTGCTGATCATCCTTCGCGGTTTTGCTATAGACCCCCTTCATTGCGTCCAGTCCATCCATGATAAACAAGGGCCATATCCTGCCGGTGGCCTCAGTGTAGATCTTTGGTTCGAGTACAGACATACCAGTTTGCTTGTTCATGGCTATGATGAAGTATAGGCAGTCCTGGGAGAAGATAATCATATAGCTAACACCAACGTGTTTAAAAATTGCAATTATAACTGGACATTTGAATATTGCACTTCTGAGCTCGGGGCCACAGCTGTGTCAAGCGGAAGGTGTACCTGTTAGTGACGGTTTTTCAGTGACCCACTGACGTACACAAAATGCGTAGAGGTATAATTCAGCACGGCTAACGATTTCAGATGTTTGTCGTCGCTCAGGACCGTGCTGGTTAAGGCAAATCTAGAACTCGTACCTCACCACCGTTCAACGTATATTGCATGCTGAATTGCCGAGCGAGGGTTGCCATTATGCAGAAAGAAACTGAAAAACAGAAGAATTCGAGAGACTGCGGGGACAGCAGAGCCCGCGCGCCGAGCTCTCGCAATCATTAGCGGGTAGCCGCAAAGCTAGCTGTCTTTGTATCTTCTCACTCTTCGAAGGCGTTCGAACGCCTAACGCCGACGTCCGTAAATCGGCGTTCGCGTTCGAACGCGTTCGAGCAGTGGGTACAAACAATGGCCTTACGCCTACTCACTAAGCAATCGTCAGAGCCCGGCGCTCTGGCGTCCCCGCGTGCTCTCGTTTCCTCCTCTTGCTCACTATCTACTCGTACGCGGAGAGCAAGTTCGCCTGCTTCTTCCGCAGGAGTTGCTGTGGACGCCAGTACGACGCCGAGCTGTGATTGGGTTTGACTGAAAGGATAGTGGGCAGACCTCAAAGCTATGTGCCTATAGGTCTACCCACAGTTTTTTTTTAACAATCAGCCAATAAGAGCTCGGCGTTCTGACGTCATCCCAACTCCTCTTCAAGAAGCAGACGACACTTCCGCTCTGCATCGCAATTATGGCAACATAACGCTGCTCTTGGAATATCACAGCCGTTGGCCCATTAGAGGTAGGATATTCCAAATAAACGGGACACATGGCTGGGATACGGCATCTCGTCAAAGGTCTGCGTTCTTCGCAAGTCGTAATCCAATAAGTGAACAGGGAAAATTGGAATTATTTGACTTTAGGATGAAGACATTTCTATATTTTTTTTATTTCTGGCGTCGTACACGAACTTGGTATTGTAATATGTTCTTCCTATGAACTAATTGTTGTAATTTTGTTCCGTATTGCTAAACATTCTCGTTTTCTTCTATATTTCGTTATGTTGGTAAGCACGCTCTGTGTTCTACATGGGTAGATTTATCAATCGAACACACCTTTCGGAAAAGGTATCTCGATTTGCCTAAAAATATACATAGAGTATTGTCCAATTTTCGCAATGAACAAAACCACTTATTAACGTTTTCTATCTTTCCACACAAATTTTTAAGTGGAGCAAGTTGAAATGCAACACTTAGGCTGCTTAATTTTGGTAGCTAGTTTTGTCGGTTGTTATAAAAAGGTAAGAATGAAAACACTCAGTCATGTTTACTGTAAATGTAGGACGCATTGCCTATTTTTCAAAACTAAACTGTTTTGGGCGTATCTCATGCCAGAAATAAGACTGCCAAACATCACGTCTTTTTCGTTTTGGTGACATATTGAGAGCCTTGCATCTTAGTGTCCATTATACAGTTTGCTTGTTAAATACTATATGCCTGTAGGCCTATGCATGTGCTATAGACTTGTTTCACTTTAGTGTAATTTATTTTCAGGAAATACTTTTCGTACATGTTCAAATTTTATCAAAAATAAATTTAGTCACAATTTGAGCCCGCGTCTAAAGGAATAATCAATGTTTAATGTTAGTTTTTATATTGTTTAAAATGATGTTAACTTTCTCTACGCGTAATGAAAGTTCCCTATATTTAGTTGTATCTTTTCTAGTACTGCTTCAGCACACATACATGCATCCGAATCGGCAAGAGGGTAGTTTCGCAAGTTGGCCCTAGTGTAAGGTGTTTTTAGTATAGTGATGCAAACTATCGATAAATTCACTATCGATACTATTGATAGTACTATCGATAGTTTTCCGATAGTTTTTCGCTAGTTGACTATCGATAGTAGGTACTATTAATAGTTTTTTACTATCGATAGTCAAATGTCTGGAACTATCGATACTATCGATAGTGCTATCGATAGTTTTGCACCACTAGAGCGAACACGGTTGCCGCACCGCCGCTCGCCTCCCTTCCTCCTCTCTTCGCCCAAACTCCCGTCTTCGTCATCACTGAAAGCTGAACCAAATTTGGGGTGGTAAGTGCTTGGGCTAGTTGGTGTCCCATTTGAAAAAAAAAAAAAAATAAAGAGAGAAGAAAACAGGGAGAGACGCAAACTAGTAGTGTCGCCAAATTATAGATAGCAAACCGTCGACAGTACTATCGATAGGTTTACGATAGTCGACTGTCGATAGTTTCCCGATAGTCATTAACGATAATTTTCCGATAGTCGAGTATCTATAGTACTATTCATAGTTTTTCGATAGTCGGCCATCAATAGTACTGTGATAGTTTTTCGATAGTCGACTATCGATAGCTCTATTGATAGTTTTTTTACTATCGATAGTCAGATTTCTGGCGACTATCGATAGTACGATCGATAGGTTTGCACCACTATTTTTGCCATAAAATGCAGAGGGCAAGGAGACCGGACGTGTTTTGCGAGGTGAAACGACGACGGAGTGCGTTATCTACTAATATGTATATTTATTGACGCGTTAGCATTCGTACCTACATATGGCAGGAAAATCTGATGACGTCCATCTGTAGATAAACTAGCGGAGAGAGAAGCGCGACACGTAAACAGAAGGGGAAAAGTGAAGGGCAAAGGCAAGAGGGAGGCCACGTCACGGTGCAGAAACAACACCTCATAGAAGACAAGGCCGTAGTGATCGTCCGGTGACGTCACGGCCGTTGGCTGTATGGAAGTGAGTCAATGGCGCGTGTATTTACCGTCGTTCGAATGAGTTTTAGTGGACAAGGACGCGCCTAGTCAGCTAAAAGTCAATATATGAAGAACATTTGGGCTCGGAAACATATATTATTGCGCAAAAAACAATCCGAATCCTCCTAACAAAGAAAAAGAAAAAAAGAACACTTTTTGCGTGGACAAATCATGTATCAACGACGCATGATGGTGAAATCTTCATTAGATAAAATGCCAGCTATAAATGATTACTGAAGCACAAAATATATATATATTATGGCACACAGTACTTTGCAATATTATTGTCATCATTCAAAATTCAGAAAACAATGCAAGACGAAAATACGGACATCATGACATCTAGAGACATGTAGGTGTGGCTGGTTTAAGCCATAATATGGCGTGATTATAGGTTCAAATGGTATACTTATCTTATAATGATATTTACTTGAAACTGGAGAAATAGAAAGATACTTTTTAAAGTTGTAGAAAAAAAATAGGAACAAACACGTCTCTAACTCATCAAACGATTCGATTGAACCACTTTTATATACAGATCCTCTGCGCCACAGGACTGATGAATGGTAACTATAAACTTCCACCATCTCGCTTGCGTACTGTGTTTATATTTGTAGACTTGGTGTACACTAAAAATAGTAAGTACCCAGATGCGTACTCGGGTCTCAATCTATCTAGTAGGGGAAAACGTATTTCAACAGAACTTAAAGGAGTCATGAAACGCTTTTTCAACTTTTTTCTGTTTAGCTTTCCTTCTCAACTCATAAATCGCGCATTGTACCAAACAGTTCAAGAAGTCGGAAAGGGGAGAGTCCCCTCTTGCTCGGAATCTCGCTTGACTAGCCGGACACAGCCATTGTCCCCCTAGAAGATTAGCCCGTCGCTCAAAATTCCGACTATAGTCGGTTACAAGTCAAGAAGGTAGGAGAAGCCCCTCCCACAAGTGTGATGCGCCCGTTTCAAATCTCTCCGCGGTCGGAAGAAGAGTTCACTGGAAACGATCCTTGTTCCGCTTCAATGGATTCCCACTTGTCTCCGATCCCACTTTTTAAGAAATTGACCTTTGTATTCATCGGAGAGGGAACCGAGCCCCTGAAAGCAGCCTTTGTATCCATCGGGGGGGAAGCTAATCCCCGAAAGTCGTATTTGTTTCCGTCGGTGGGGGAGAACTCTAATCTCCCTCTCGTGGCTTCCACAATGCTAAGTCAAAGTAAAAAGCTAAAGCAAATATGTACAGAAAGGCAAGACTCTCCTCGCGCGTTGGCCGCGACGTCACGGAAACGGTAGGACGTTATTGGATGCGGAGGTGGCGGAGGGATATCTAATTCCCTTTGAGGGGCATTTGCCGCTACCCTCTTAACCTGTAACTGACTATAGTTGCTTTCCCCACCCCGTTCACCCCGAAGCTGACAGTGCTGTGGAAGCTACGTGCTCGTTGGGCCAGCCACACATTTTCCACGTGATCATGCCCTCTCGCGCATACCGACCCGCAGAGAATGAGGTCAGGTGATGAAAGGGAGACGGCTGATTGGTCCGGCAAGCGCGTAGCTTCCACCGCAATGTCAGCTTAGGGGTAAAGGGGTTAAGTGAGGTCCGGTGTCGTGTGACGTGCGCTTGGGCCCTGGTGACGCGCTGCGGGGGCCCAGTTATGGTGGCTAGTAGCCCGGTGACGCGCTGCGGGGTCCGCGGATGTATCACAGTGAAAAGGCGGAGAGTTTACGAAGGGAAGGAGGTACGAAATAGTCCGCTATGTTTTGCAAATTTTCGTAGCGAAAGTCAGGCTTCTGACTTTCTACCTTTGTTCTTTTGGCCCACTGAACGATTTGCTATTAGTAAAATCCCAATATAAATTGATTTACTCCAGCCTAAAATTCGTTTCATGGGTCCTTTAAGGTAGTTCATGAGTGTTGCCTACAAAATCAAATAATTTGTTTTTTAAAAATTTTATTTCTGAGCTTTAATAGACTCATTCAGAGAAAAGTGTAAGAGTAAAACGGTTCTCTTGCACCATCACAAAAACTTCGCAAAAATACATCAGCTTCATCGCACTCGCACAACAGCTAAAAAAGTACTCTATACGATCCGTGCGGGAACTATACGCCTCGCAAGTGGGCTCATTTTCGTCTTCTGCGCATGAGAAAGGAAGTAGCGGTGACGTCAGAACGCCGAACCCTGATTGGCTGATCGCGACCCCCTCTGGGCGTCGTCTGCTCCTTTGCAACGTCGTCTGCTCGCAACGTCGTCTGCGTCTGTCTCACCTTTCCTGCGACTTTCGGAAATCGAGCGAGCTCGACTTCGCCTTTCATGGAGGGCAGAAGAACCGTGAGTGAGCGTGTTAGTGTCCCCAAGTTCCCTCCCAAATATTGTTTCCCTCCTTTCGTGCGCGGCGAGACTCCTCACTGCTTAACGGCGTCGGCGGGTTGGCGCAGTTAAC